TGGTCCTGCCTGTTGTCAGAGCCTCTCACCAGCCCGAGGAGGGCAGGAAACCCCGCCACAGAGCACGCCACCGCAGGGACGCTGCCATGTGGGCCACAAGCCTATGCCCCAGGCATCTGGGCCAGGAAGCTGTTGCCCTGCCAGGCTCTTGTGCTTCTCTACAGGTGACGTTCAGACCAGATGAGTGGTCTAAAAAAAATCCCCGTCGCAGGCTCAAAATACTCCTGCAGCCCGTGCAAAGCCTTTTAAACTCGCAGCCGAGCGCGAGGCTCACTTGCGTTGTGTTCCCCTGCATACATTATACGAGCACTGCTTGAGATAATGTAGATGCAGCTCAGTGCTCAAATTCAAATGACAGAGGAGCACTCTGCTCTGCTCCTGCTTAACGTCTCTTTTTTAATAAAAGCAGGGCTTATTTGAGGACAAATCAAAAATAGCCTCACAAGTTACTCTGGGCTTTAATCTCCCACGTGACGTTGCAACGTACATGATGAGAAGGAAATTCCTGCAGGCTCTAAATAAACCTATTATCATTTAATCTCTGATGGGTTATTTTGAAATCCAAACAGAATACATCTTTTGTACATGTGCACAGCACAGAAGATCACTCTGGATTTCCAAGCCATAGCGGAGGCTTAGAAAAACATAAAAAAAAAGGAAACAAGCAGCCAGGAGCAGGCTGGCAAAGAGCAGCAGGCTAAGCTGCCACGGCAGACAACTGTGATGGTGCGGCAGCATCAGCTGGGCACGGGACAGGGAAACTCAGGCTCAGGGAGGACAACAGCTTGGGCTTCTGCCAGTTCCCTCTTTCCACAAAAATACACCCACAGCAGGGTGGTGCCTTTCCCAGAGGATACAAGCATCCCTGGTGTCCTGTCTGCCCCAGTCGGGCAAAGGGGATGGGGCTTAGCTCTGCATGGGCCGCATGTCCCCTCGCTCCCCGTGGCTGGCGGCTGGCATCCTCCGAGGCGGTAGCTCCCCAATTCCTCTCGCCACTGCCGTGCCACCTGCTCTCCTGTACCACCCTTGGGGCTCAAGGTGACCGCTTGAAGCTTTTCTTCGCTAATTACTATGCTGTAACTTAAAAGGAAGCTGTTTTTTTCTTGATAGGTAATGTCATCTTTTTGACTCAGCTGGAAATCCATAAATAATGCCTATGTCTTTCCTAGGAAACGTTTACTTTTCTAAATTTAAAAAAAAAAAGCAAGCACAGGCCTAACAGTCACTTCTAAAAAAGATTTATACCATTTACTGGCATTTCAAAGAGGTGGCCTCCCTGGTCCAAGAGGTGTGCATGTGATACCCAACACAAACTCAAGACAGAACAGGAGGTAAAAATTGCCATCTTCTTCTTGCTCTCAATTTTTACATTCATCTAAAGCATATTCTGCACCAAACGTGAAAGACCTTGACTTGTTCAGCCGATGCAACACATCTATTTGAAATACATCAGCGCATCAACGTTATCAACAAGGACAGAAAACACAGACACACTGTCATGCATAGGCAGCTGCATAACGAATAACACGACTACGGGTGTGCAAATTTAATCAGTCATCATTTAATTCAACACAGTTAAAGTCTTCTTTACATATGTATGTCCACCAACACATTTAACACACCAAAGAGGACCGCCGAAAAATCATGATTGTTGTCTCTCTCTCCCTCTCTTTCTCTCTGTATGTATTTTCACACAAAGCAAAATATACAGAAAAATACACATCCTGCCTGTACATCCTGCCTGACATTGTCAATGTCCTGCCAGTGCCATGCAGTGTTTCGACAAGGAGTTTCCAGCGGCCCTGCAAGCCTCATGTCCACAGGGTTCTATAGCCAGAGCTGTTCTGCAAGCCTAAAATTTTATTTAACTGCCAAACATCTCCTTAGAAGATATAAAGAAACATGACAAATATCAGTGTTATCACACTAAATAACTAAAAGTCTATTAATGCTTTAGAAATACAGCTTTTGACAAAAATTATCAAATCCCCATCCAAAGAACTTCCCTCAGCTAAGCCAAAGGCCATATGAAGGTGAGCACAGACTGCTCCTTCAATTCAGTTTGCAGGAACATGTCTCCTTAGTGTTAGTCACTCCCCAAGAGAATCCATAACTAATACGGGTGAAAACTTTACCCTAGCTTCCTCTTACAACAATGACTGCTTAGCATATACTGGCTGTGTGGTTGGTAACGTACAAATCGCAGAATCCCTGCAGCTGAAAGCTCACCAACTCAACAAGACCAGCACCAAGTGCAGACAGGATGGACGTGGATGTAAACATACCCGTTATCAGCTTGCTTCTTGGAAGCGTGTTAAGTAGGATTCTTCTTTCCTAGCTTTTTAATCTAACAATCGGGTATCTGGTCTAAACTCGTATTTATAATCAATATAAAATCTCAGTGACTACACACACTCGTCTTTATAAAGTGCAGTAAAAATAAGGCAGGGTAGAAACCAGTAAATTAAGAGAAAAATATGCCAAGTGAAACAAAGACTTGTTTTCTTATTTTTGCTTTTAAGTGCTCCTGACCAAGAGTTAGCTCAAGCCAAAACTTTCATTATGCTCAATGGCATAGAGCAACTTTTTCTTGAGTATTTTTTTCCTGCTGTATCTGGGGAGCAACAAAATGTGGCTGCAGGTATTGGCAGAAGGATATAACTCATCTGGATTTTCTGCTTGAGGATCTTGAATCGAAAATTCAAAACGTTCCAGTCCATAGAGAGGGATCCGATCAGATCCTGACACAAAAGCTGCAGGAAGGGGAAAACCAAAAACAAGTTAGCAAATTAAAAAAACCAAACATGATAATGATATCAGAGGATGAAAATCATGAGGGAAAATTAGTGTAAAAATATGGCTGTTTCCATAAGCTAATCATTTTGCATTGTTGAATTTGTACTTGAATATAATAAGGTCTCCTGCTGATTCATAATTATAAGCGCTCTTTTACTTTTACTTATGTAGATTTTGTGGATGAGAAAGGCCAGGCTAGGTTTGACCTTCTACATTTAAAAAGGATGAGCTAGCTTCTGTGATCCTTTGAGAAAGCCAAACTGCTTACATCAGCATAGTCCACTCACACAAGGCCTCTGACCAACAGCCGATAACCACAAAAGTGAAAGATAAAGTAATTGCAAAGTCCAAGGCAGTCAGATGCACTCAGGCAAGCCGCAAGGGATGTGAGAAGGGTCAGAACTGTGTCTGTGCAATTCTTTGTGTCAGTTCTTTGTGGCTTTCACTAGAAAATGTTGGTGGGCGGGAGAGAAACATGTCGAAAACCACTTTGGAACTACAGTATTTTTCATGTGCAAGCATCTAAAATGTCCGTTGTGGGGGAGAGAAAAGGGCTATGAAAAGTTTAAAATGCCTGATAGATTACCAAGAAACATTTTCTTTTTTTCCTCTGGGAGGTCGTGAAACACAGCCCAAAAATCCCTGATGGTTCGATCTAACTTTTTATACCATGTGTACTCCACATTCTGTCAAAGAGATAAAAATAAAACAGGCCAGTTAATCCTCACTATTTCCATTTTCATTTAAAGCAACCACAGTTTATCCAATAGATTTTATAATCCTGTTCATAGATGCTCAAATGCTCTTAACCTCTGGAATCTGCTTGTTCATTTGTTTTTCAAAGATTCATGTGACAATCCTTGAGCTACGACTTGACTTTCAGTCCCCTTTATTCTTGTACCTGATGTAGATTAGAAACAGACTCAAAACAAAGACACAACTCCAGAGAAGAGAAAGCCTCCTGAGCTTCTGTTTATCTGTTCATGACCCATACACCCAACCAAAGAACAGGTCAAAAAGCGTTTATGCTCAGCAGATATAGCAGAAGTACACTGTGCTTGGATCCAATACCTCTTGCAGCAAATGCCAGTCAAATTGTGTGTGTCCCTGGAGAACAATCTGGAGCTCTACAGGGAGAAACATCTTCCACTTTTCAGTCGGGCAGCCTCTTAAAAACCCTCGCTTGAAGTCCTCAAATGGCTTCTGTATCGATTCGTTGAGCATGTAACTCACATACAAGTCAACAAATTCCTTCCTGCAAAGATATTTTGAATCAAACAAGCAATGCAATAAGTGCCTTTTTAAAAGGAGAATTATGGAGAACTTTATTCCTTATCCCTTTATTCCGTATGACCTGCTCTACTGTAAAGACTCAGATTTCCCAGACAAGTTGTCTGTATTTCCCTGAAAATGTTGTTCAGGGGTATTTTATATGTCTGTTAGGAATCTCCCTGATAAGCCTAGGCATCTCTGTACATGCAGATGCCAGGACGTCCAAGGATCCCTTTCTTATCCACTGCTTGCACAAACTGCTGATGTCTGGCACATGTGCAGCACATACAGCAAGAAAAAAAAGCATACAACCCACTGGACCAAGACCAACGTCATGATGCTGATGGTCAATATTTTCTAAGAGTATACAGGGACATGGTATTTCATACACTCACAACAAGACATCAGGATAAGAAAAAGAAAACCGACCTGTTATCCTTAGTGACAGGAATGTTGGCACCATTTTTTTTAAGTTCAACAGCAACCATGGAACCACCTTCTTCCATTATCTACGCAAACAAATTAAAACATTGGATGCTATATCTATATATGACAGATATATATGTGCTATACCTATCATTCCTTCTTTCTGTAGGGCCTGACATAGCAGTCTTACTAGTTTGAGTTCACAGACAAGTTGCGTCGTTTGCAGTGGGACATTGTCTTGCCTGAGTACATTCATGGCACATCTGAATGGCACAATAATGTCTTACCGTGAAGTCCATGTCCAGGCTCTCAAGGATGTGATCACATTCTTCATCCAAAATTCCCTGAAGACTCCTTTTGAAAAACAAAGGGGGAAAAAAAGAGGGAAGAAACATGACCATTTAATGCACTTTCAAATTCCGCTGAAAACCATCCTTTGACAAGCAGTATTTAAATACATATACATATAGAACACCTATACTCACACAGAACCTTCATATATGGCCCTAAACTGATCCGTACACTTATGTCCCGCTGCTGCCATGAGCTGAGGGCAAATGCCTTCACCGCGAAGGATTCCAGGCAAGTCCAGCCCCATGCCCTATGGGGATAACTTTACACAAAGTTCCATAGCAAGTGGGCTTGGACCACAGCCTTGTTCTTCCAAATGTCATCTAGTGAGAAATTAAGTGTGGACCGATGGGATGGCAGAACTGCTTTGGGGTGCAACACCTCTCAAAGTATTGCAGGCCACCTGATGTTTCAGTCCACCTCAGCAGTCACTGGCTTGTGGGAAAAGGTTCTCATCTTGGCTGTTTAAGGCCCTTACAAGGAAAGCTGGGTTTCAGGGGCCTGGAAGCTCTATGCTGGTGGCAGCAGCACCTCTCCCAGCTACATCTGCCTGAAATCTCTTTTCCCAGCGCGTGGGAACGTTCTCGAATTTGGCACAGGCCACAGCATACGGTAATACTGTGCTCGTGCATAACACCATTGCGGAAACCAACAATTAGTAAATCAGAAAAAAAACCAACATTAGTAATTGGGTGCTTAGTTCTTCCAATCCGAACTGCAGCTCAAAGTGGTTTGGAACTACATATTCACAGCGTGGACTTAAGCTCATGCGGAGCAGAAGTCTGACCCCTCCTAAGCCATGGGGGCTTGGCTTTTTATTTTTGCGATGCCAGCCTCTGTTCAGGAGCAACTTCCGTGCCCTGGACAAGGACCACCTTAGAAATCTGTAGCTTTTAGCAGCTCCGCCATGGCAGACGTGGCTCCTATGGATACCCCGAATACGGCCTCGGAGACCTCCGTGCGCGTGGCCAAGCCAGGGGACCCGCCTCGCCCATAGCTTCCCAGCCAAAGGTCGGGCCGTGCCCGGTTCGTACCGGCCTGTGCCTGGCACCAGCTCCTCCAGGTCCTCCAGGGTAGGCACGATGCCCAGCAGCTTTTTGTAGAGAGCCCTGGGGAAGGGGATGGGCAGCATGCACCTGTTGTACAGGGCCATCCCGCACAGCGTCCCGATCTGGAAGAAGGTGTCTTCGCAGCTCGAGGCCTGGTTAAAAACAAGCACATTTTTTAAAAGGCCGTGGCTGCCTTTCAGCTGGGGGCAGGCTCCCCAGATGCCCGGGCCGCGGGGCTGCCGGGCGGGCCGGCCCCTTACCTGGCTGGGGAAC